AACTCAATAAGGAGTTCGACATGAAGGATCTAGGAGTTGCATCAAGGATTCTTGGGATTGACATCCGAAGAGATAGAAAAAAGTCAAAGTCATGTTTATCTCAAGAGGCATGCCCATGGAAGATTCTCGATAAGTTTGTAATGTCGAATTCAAAGCCTGTTGTGACTCAGACAAACCCTCAATTCAAGCTGAATATAGATCAATGTCCCAATATTGATGTCGAAAGAGCTTATATGAATAACATCTCATATGCTAACATAATAGGTTCTTTTATGTATGATATGGTATGTATTAGACACGACATAACATATGCAATAAGTCTTGTAAGAAGATACATAGCGAATCCTGAAAAGGCTCTCCGACAAGCATTAAAGTGCATTTTGAGGTACATAAACGACTCTCTAAACAAAGTCCAAATATATGGCGGAGCCTTGGGTAAAGATAGTAAAACAATAATTAAATGGTATGTCAACTCTGATTATGCAGGTTGTATGGAATCTAAAAAATCTATTTCTGGATATGTTTTCACTATATTTGGCACAACAATTAGTTGGAAAGTGGCACTTCAAAAGGTTGTTGCCTTATCAACCACTAAAGTAGAATATATTTTCCTTACTAAAGTTGTGAAAGAAGCATTGTGGCTTGAAGGTTTTTCTAAGGAGCTTAAACTTCAAGGTGGAGTTATCACTGTTAAATGTGATAGTCAAAGTACGAAACACCTATCGAAGAACTCAGCATATCATGAACGAACCAAGCACATCGATGTGAGGCTGCATTTCGTCAGAGGGATAATCGAGGGTGGAGAAGTCCAAGTGTTGAAGGTTTCGACAAATCACAATGTTGATGATATGATCACCAAGAATTTTCCAAGTTACAAATTTTTCTACTGTATGCAGTTGATAAAGCTGCATGAAGAAATCTAGTTTGTTCTTTGATGTTATAGAGTTTGTTCCAATGTAGAGATTTGTGGAAGATATTGAATTGAACTCTATTAGGTCGAATGGTTTCGTGGTTCGACAAGTTCAACAGAGGTTGGCATGCAGTCGAAGGTCGTTCACATGCTGGTGTCGAAGTAGTGTATGATGTAGTCGAAGTATAGTCAAGCATGCAGTTGTCGAATTGGGCCTGTCTTTATGTCTAATTTTTAAGTTAGCTTGTACCCTAAATTAGTTTGTAATGAATCTATGTGTAAAAACCCATTAGTTTAGTATGTTAGGTTTCTTATAATTAACATACTAGTCTCTCAGCAAATCATAATTTATGGTGAAAGAGGTTATTTATTATTCTTGTAACATTTGTAATCTTGTTTGAAGAGAAAGTAAAGAATGACAGTTATAACCAATCTTTATTATTCCATCTTTTTTACCCTATTTATTTCTTAATCATAAAGAAACATTTTATACTTTATTTCAAAAGTATCTAATTTCACAACAGAGTTGGTGAATAATTTCTCTTATTCCGAGTTATAGTTCTATTCTTAACTTTTTGTTAGCGGATTAGAGTATCCTATTATTCTCTATCAATAATACTTTACTTATAAAAAATGCTTTATTTCAAAAGTTAATTTATAAATATCAATAATAGCTTGCTTATAAAAATAATTAGTTGCTTCAAAAAAAGTCAATTTATAAATCCCAACCCGTCAAAAAAAAAAATCCGGAAATAATTTAAGTATCTCCCAAATTAATAAAACCTTAATATAATATGAATTGGCAATGGATTGTATATTACTCAAAATTATGGTAAAACATGGAGGGATTATCTCCACCTCGTATTTTTCTTAAGTGCATAAATCATTACCCTTAAAAAAAAGATTTTTTTTAATCTCATTAATTTTTTTCTCTCAAATCAAAGGCAAGGCTTGGGTTGAATTGGTCTCTTATGTGACATGTTAGAATTCTTTTCTCGTAAAACAAGATTTGCTAGAAAGACATCATCATTAGCATTTGCTCCTTGAACATGAAGCTGAGAATGAAAGCACAACCACTTTCATTCAATTGTGTGTACGTCCACTTATTTTCAAGAACATGTACCCAAAATCCATAAAAACAAAACGAAGACGTCCTTTAATTAGAGGGCGGTGTCTATTTCGAGTAATCACACATTCAAGCAGAGTGACCATATAAACAGTCCACCTCGTTCCTTTTTGTGGGTCTCTCTCGCTGTCCTAATCTTCTTCACCCAGCCCCACTTTTTCCTACCTTCCTCGTGATATGTTTGTTCATTTCGTACTATTTTAACATGCAAATGTTTCGTCTCTATATACGTGTACATTTAATGATTTCACTACTAAATATATTTGTTCTTATATTTGCAATTTATCGGTTGATTCAAATTGACGAATCGAGTTGAATCTAGATGAGTGGTTTCAGAAGGGAACAATCAAGATGACAAATGTTTTGGATTTGAATGTCACTAAGGAGGGAGGTATTTGTAAATATTGAGACATTAGTAATGTAGTTTTCTTTGGATTGACTGTATTTTGTAAAACAACAGTACGAAGTGTTTAAAGTGTTAGAGATTATTCTAATTTGTTTAAGTTGTATGAAGGTGCATAAGGGACACATGTTCCAATATAATGGTACGATATTTAGGTCTTGTGCAATAGGTCAATATTATTATGTTTTGGAAGAGTTTCTGATCAAAAATTGGATCATATTTTATTGCTATTAGTTTAGCAATATGATTGGGTGATTTGTTAGACAGTTGGATGAAGATCAATTCAAATTTAAATGAAGATTTAAGTTTGAATTTAAATTCTAACAAATCATATATTGTTGGAGAAATTTATGGATCAAATAATATCTAATAGATTCTACATTATTTCTGGACGAAATCATATCAAATATCTAAAGAGAAAAATCCATAATTATTATGTTACATAAACAGCTCAAAACCTACATTGAAAAACAAGTAATACATTGATGATTTTTAGTGTTAGGATTCGTTTAGAGTTCTTGTTATTGCTTTATGTACACCACTATGTTTCAGTAACTTGACATAGTTGTAAATTTTTCTAGCTGAGTTGTAAATTCAACACTATTCTTATCGTTGATTGAAGTTGATCACTAGGGTTTAGTGATTGAAACACTAAGGGGTTAGTTTTTGAGAGAAAAGAAAGTGAGAGAGCGTCTCATATTTATGGGGAGTTCTAAATAGAAAAATGTTGGATAGTGTTAGGAAGAGACGTTGAACAACATAGGATTTGTTGTTGCTTGTAAGACCAAGTATACTAAACTACTAATAAGTAGATTTTTTTTCTTAGATTGGAAGCCAATCCTCCATGCGTATGTGTTGTTTGCAATTACATATAACTGGGTTACCAATTGGTTATGTTATTTATGGGTTTCAGCTCCATCATCTTGTACAAGTTAGATTGTGTTAATTATGGTGATTCTGGTTTAACTTTTCGAACCAGTTGCTAGGACATCACATTCATCATATGTTCCTTGAGGAACATAATTACAATTGGCATCAAACTAGGTACCCTAGCCTATTGGGTGAGCTCCAGAGAAGATGAATTATGCTCAAATATACACAATTAAAGATGGATGATCAGTCAACAAACCACTTAGTTTTTATGGCACAAACTATGATTATTGGAAGTCAAGATGATCAAGAAAAGGGCTTGTCGAATGATATAGCTCTTCTTGAGAAAAAGTTCAACAATTATTTGAAGTATCTTTATAGAAAGTGGAGGACAAATGTCCAAGACTAGAGGTCCAACATTAGTCTCCATAACAAAGACATGAGTAAAGACAAACCAAATGATGGCAAGGGTACTCACTGCTTTGAATGTGAAGACCTTAGACACATTAAAGCATAATGTTCTACCTTTCTAAAGAGACAAAAAAGTGATTATCTTTCACTTGGTCTGATTTTGACAATGGAAATAAGGGAGAAACTCCCAAAAGTTTGATTCTAAAAGAGAGTTCAATTATGAAGACCTGACTAAAGAAGAGCTTAATGCATCATTCAGGCTACTACACACCAAATGGGATGAAGTGTGCTTAATAATAGATAACCAGAAAACAACAATAGGTATTATTCAGAAGAAATAGAAACGCTTGCATCAACCATCACAATTATAGAAAAAGAGGTTTGTTAACTAAACTCCAAACTAGGAAATATGATACAGTCTGAAAGTAATTTGAAAAATAGTTCAAATACACTTTATGGAACGATGATGTTTGGAGAGATGTCCGTAGATATGAATGAATTAGTTTTTTGGACGAGCACGAAAGAAATGAATATTCCCTCAGAGAATGTTGTTCTACCTAGAAAAAACACTGAGGTTTTGAGGTTAGACCACGTGTCACAACATCATGTATAACATATGTCACCTCTTCACAGTAGTAATAAGAAATAGCCTCTGAAATGTCACCATTGTGGTAAATTTGGACATATAGGACCTTATTGCTACGAACTGCATGGATATCCTCAACATGATAGTCCACAACAAAAAGAAGTGGAAACACAATGCTACTTGAACTGGCTTCATAGCTCATACAACAGACAAAGGTTCCTCAAGTGAAGGACATTATTATAATAGTGGAGGTACCATGGCCATGTCTAGAGAAAAGACAGTTCATGTCACTCCTGGCTATAGAGCAGAAGGAAGAATCAAGGGCTTAAGAAATTTTACCAATCCTAGTCGAGATGAGGTACTACTAAGAAAAGGCTTAACAACCAATGTGAACAACATAAATCATCAATGTGATCATAGGAGGAATATGAACTTCTACAATTTCAAAGGTGGTGTCACTAACAACGGTAAAGAATTTTTTATGAAGAAGGTAATACTTAAGGAAGAAATCATGGGCTTACAAGGTCTTGGGGTTGATAAATAATACACTCAGAAAGAGGAAAGACTAACCAAGATGCCAGACAATATGTCTCAACATCTTACTCAAGATTCTGAATTATCTCATGAGGATTGTATCATTAAAGAGAAGGTTGATGGTCATATTGGAGGTCCTCCCAGATTTGAATAACCTACAATGGTTCATAATGATAAGCTAGAGAAGAATAGTGGTTGTGGCATAACTCGTCCTATTAAAATGTCTTCTCATAATTATGGAGGCGTGGTTAACCAAAAACATGATAGGTTGTTTGGTGAAGCTGAAACTTGTGTATTGAAGCCTAACTACAAGATGTATGTATCATATATTTCTCTCAACATTCGACTTATTGTTAATTCTGGTCTAGATGCTGGTGGAATTATGAGAAATTATCATGACACTCTAATGTCTTCTGGTGAAGATTCCCGGGAAACAAATTTGAGGAATCCAGATGGTGGTAAGGATGTGGTAGACATCATGTCCAACATGTTGACATAGTCTTAAGTGCATAAGGAGAATGATGATCATGACCATGAATATATGGAGGTTTCTATTTCTATAGTTGATGGCGGTGTTGTCAATAACCATGATCATGCATTTGAAGATGCAAATACATTGGGTGAAGGTGTGGATGAAAGAATGTGTACTACTATTGGCAAGGATTATAGATTGATGTTAAATAACACACAATCTACAAATGATATTGTGATACGGTGGGAGAGCTGACTTGAGGTTTTGCGTTTGTATTCGCACTTGTGCGGTTGAGCAAGAGTCGCCACCGACTTTTTATTTTATCCTAAGGAAAGGTTAAAAAAGCACAGCAAAAACCTTTTGAGATGTTTTCTTGGGTTCGGGGGGTAGATTATGAAAAGGGAAGGTATTAGCACCCTTTTCATCCATGGTTATCCATGGGCTCTTAGTTACTTGGTTTTTAGATCACTTGCCTTGATTTTCGATTGCTTGAAATTGTGGTGTATGTGTGTGTGTTTTGAAAATGTTTTTGAAGAGATGCCTTGTCTTAGGCGACCAATGTATTTGACTCATGTTTGAGTGTTTTACAAAAGTGTGGATCTTTTCGAAAAGATGTTTCAAATGTTTTTGAGAGTTTGTTTGAAAGTGTTGTGGATTGTGGTTTTTGAAAAGAAGGCAAGTGTTTTTTTGCAAGTCAATCTCAAGTAACTAAGAGCTTTGTCTACCCTATTGTACTCAAAGGTTTTTGTTATGTTTTAACCCCTTTTAACAATTTTGTTCCACCATTGAAATTGGTGGACAATCTTGCGTTTAGGAAGTTTATTCGGGACGGGCACGGGTCATCGTATGGACCATGAATGCAATGGTGCCAAGTGTCTTTGGCAATTTGCTTTGAAGGGACTATGATCATTCCGTTTAGGCAACATTTTGAGGGACTTATGATCATTTTGATTTTGTTTTGCCAAAGGTACTCGACGTGCAAACACGGCCCATTTTGGAAGGCAACATGTGGGATTACCCTAGAGGGTGCAAGTGTGATTGTGTATTGATTACATGTATTTGTCTTGTATTAGGTTATCTAGCGTTTGATTTTATGTACATGCAAACCCTAGGTCTAACCATGGTATAATTGGAAAACTGTAAATTGCGAAAATGTAAAATCTACGCTATTACAAAATGGTATCCGGGAGTGGGGGTACAATATTCACAAATGGGGATGAGACTTATAGTATCTAATAAGTTACAACCAAATCGAATTTGCAATCAAATGTAAATGACGTATATCAATGTATAAGATAAACAAGTGTGTATAGGAGCAATATATTGTGTATTTGTATTGTGTAAGTGTGAAATGTATTGTGTGATTTTTGTGAGAATATTTGAATAAAAAGAAAAGTATTTTCAATTTTAATTATATGATGTAAAAAAAACGTATCTTTATTATTATATACAAAAGGAGATGTTTTAATCAAAAGAAAAATCTTTTCAATCTTATAAAGATATATTTCTATGTATATACAAAGATAATTTAAATTAAATATTTTAAAGAAATAAAATCATATTTCATGGTATTTTAGTATTAACGAAATAATATACAATGCTAACAAAAATTAGGTTAGAGGAAAACCATTATAATTAAAAAGTATTAAACGTTTTAAATTAATTAAAAAAAGTAGGTTAATTAACTTGTTTTATAAAAGAAGAGAATTTAAACCTCTTAATGGGCCTGTTCAGTTGAAATCGTGCTTTGCAATGGGGGAGTTTTCAGAGCAAGATGATGATTTGTATAGCTTCCTTGAAGTGTGAGGATGCTATTCCAAGTTCTACTTTGTCTTGAAACTCCCGGAATCGTGCTAGAGAACTTCAACTGCAAAACAGAAAAATGAAAATGGTGAAGTGGCTTGGAGGTGTTACAGATCGTGTTTTAGCTTTTGGATAGCTTGCATAGATGGTATGGAGGGTGTGTGAACTGGTTTGGGAAAGAATGCTTGAGAGGATTGAGAGTTGGAACTCAATCTGCAAAGGCAACTCTGTTTTTGCAGTTTGATGGTGTTTTTTTTTTTTGGTTTGATGAGGTTTGGAAGGTGTTTAGCTCGTGTTTTAGGGCAAGGTGATTGTTTGGAATGTGTTTGACAAGTTTTCCTAAGCTGGTTTTTGCTGAGATGGAAGTTGTATTGAAAAACTGGTTTTCTGGTTTTTGACACTTTTTATACTATACTTCCACCAGGTGAAGTTGTATTGAAAAACTAGTTTTCTGGTTTTTGACTGATGCAGGTTATGGGTTTAGACTGGTTTGAATTTGCTTCAGCAGGTTATGTTGGTATGGTTGTTCAGGTTTTAGTTTGCTTCAGCAGGTTTGCTATGCTTACAGGTTTATCAGTTTGTAGGTTTTTTCTTTGTGTTTTGGTGAAAGTCCTCTCTCTTTTTTTGAACTGTGTTGTTCTTCTTGTTATATCTTTTTCCTATCTCTGCCTGCCTAAGCCTGAAAACCTGCATCTTATCTCTTCTTTTTCTCTCTCTCAGTACAGTTTAAATATTAAACTATGCTTTTTTTATGTACTTTATTCTGAAAGTGGCCACTGGGAAATGATGAAAGTGTAGTTGGCTTGCATAAAAGATTTCTTCTGCATCTTTATCTTTCTTTGACAGCTTTGGTACTTTGTGAACTTTCCATATCTTTGCCAAATCTTTTCATGACAGCCTTGAGTAGACTTTGTACTTTTTTGACAGCAAGTTTGATACTTTTGGATTTTCAGTTTGGTTTGAACTTGGAGTTTGAGACTTTGAATTTATGCAGTTTGACACTTTGAATTATGCAATTTGGCTTTTGTGCATTCATATTTTAGCAAATAAAACTCGTCCCTCTTTGTGAACCGGGAGCGATCCCGTGATTTGCAGAGAGGGTTAACTGATCCCAATCAGTGGCCTTTAATGATGACTGCAATTTTAATCTGTCTTTTCAATTTAACTGTTATTTGACTTTTCCTTTTCTTTTGCAGATGAATAATTGGATGGAGAGGCATAAAGTGAAGAATGAAGAATTAAGGATTTAGAAGATATTTAGAAAAATAGGATAGTTTTATTTTCAATTTAATCCTTGTAACTATTATTATTTTAAATACTTTGTAAATAAATACTTGTATCTAAATAATAATTGTAACAAATGTTTAAATATGAAATAAAAAATTCTATTGATCCATTTAATTCTTTTTATCCCTTTTTCAATTATTTACTTATTGTTTATAGTTCCTTAAATTAAAACAAATGAAAGTTAAATTTCAGATATTTAATCCTTAGAACAATAAATAATCAGTTAAACATTGATTCTTCGTCGATCAAAATAAATGAACTTGGCGTCTCCATCATCCAAAGCAACGCACAGTCGAACGCAATAACTGGTCAGACGCAATCCTTCCTTACTGATTTCTTGCCAAGCACTGTAAATCCAATACTGCATATTTCTTTTGACTGGCTCAAACAAACCAACGTGAATTCAAACCACTGTCTCTTTTACTGATTAAATCAAAATAATATGAATTTAACCCGAATCTCGGAATAAACTGCAAAGTGCTGTGGAATTTAAATCCTTCTGAGAATATGCCCACAAAACCCTTAATTCCTGATTAAATGCCAAAGAACATTTGCCTGATCAAAAATCGAGCCAAAATCAACCAAAACCCTAAGCCAGTTATTTGAAGCAACCCAGAGTCCTAAAAATCAATAAAACCCTAATTTTGTCTGACTGACGAGAAAAGTCCGTTTGTCCGATTCTTGAGCCAGTTTGAAAAGTCAGGAAATGCCTGAAGCTGAGATTTCTTGTGGAAAAAATGCGAGGGCAAATTTTGGGGTACAACAGTTGCCCCTGTTCAATCTTCTTAAACCTGAAGAGTTAGATTGGCAAGTTTGCCTTTCGCGACTTGAAGGTAAAAGAAGATTGGACACTAAAGTGCCCAGAAAATTTGCACTCGGCGATGTGATGGTAGATGTGAATGGGCTTAAAGATGCCATTTGGTGATGGGCTTAAAGATGCCATCTGGTGCGATAGAATTTTGTCGGGGGATGGGCTTAGAGATGCCATCTGGTGACTGCTGGTAGGAGGATGGGCTTATAGATGCCATCTGGACATGTTGAACTGTATGTCAAAAGTGAGTGGGCAAGTATCAGAAGGGCATCCATGTTTTGGAACATCTCTGAATTAGGGGTCCGAATAAGCAACAGATTGACGTCCATGTCTGGAGAATCCGTAAACTATTTTCAGGAGTTGAGATTGAGTGAGCAATAGAGCGGCGTCCGTTGTTGGGAAGCGTCCGTAAACTGTTTTTTTAAAAGTTGAGAAGAGTCTAAACAAGTTGGTAGATTGACATCCGTTGTAGGGAAGAATCCGTAAACTGTCTTCAAAAGTTGAGAAGAGTCTGAACAAGTTGGTAGATTGACATCCGTTGTAGGGAAGAATCTGTAAATTGTTTTCAGAAGTCTTGAAGAGGAACCGGTGTAGGGTTTCTTGATGATGCGTCCGAATGGATCTGGAATAAGTATCAGAATGTCGCCGTGTTCGGGTCACATCTGAACTATTTCTGGATGAATCTCGGAAGATGATCTGTGTTTGTCGACTGATCTTACCTGAAAAGGTAGAGGGTTAGTTGTATGCAATGTTATGATGCATGATGCAATGTATGTGACATCAATGTTTATAACATGAATGTGATGAATGCGCATGTAAGCTGATGAGCTATCTTGCTGAGGATAGATAGATCCTGGATGACTGAAGATAAAAGAATCTTGACTGCTGCCGGGGAGAACAATTCCTTGGCTGCTGTTGTGGAGGGCAAGAATCTTTGACTGTTAAAAATGAGAAGTCTTGGGACCACTGTTGGGGAAATCAGAAGCTTGGGTTGTATGTCAAACTACTGGGGAATTCCTGTCTTGAGGAGACCTTCAGTCTGCTTGGGGATTGATAGTTGGAAGTTTTAGCTTCGCTGGGGATAATGAAACTTGACTCTGAGGGGAGTTAGCTTCTGGAAGGTTCT